CCTGCTGATTTTGGGAGACAGTATTGCAAGACTGTATGGCAATTTTTCATTTCAAATGTCTTTGTGGAAAACCAAATATATTCTTATCTAAGTATCTGCCATCAAAACACTCTTAGGTTTAATACAAAAAAACTTTTTTGCATTGATGCAGAACATTAACTAAATTGAGACTTAACTTTCTGCTTCTTGACAAGCCACGAGAATCTGGCTCCATGTACATTGATGTAAAAGATGGCATTTATTTCTGAGTTTTTTCACAGAAGCAGGAGGATGCAAGGGAATGAGGAAAGGGTTGGCTATGCTGACACCTAACTGATGGACAAAGGAGCAGCATCAATATGACTGGCAGCAGTTTACTTGGGAACAGTTGGCAATGCTGCCATAGCGGGGACTGGTTCTGGAGCTATCAAAGACTGGCTTGTCCCCTGCTGGGAGCAGGCATAGCCCCCTTCTACCCACACAGACAGCTGGGACAGAGGCTATAGCCCCTTTCCTGCAGTGCCACAGCTGAGGACTCTTTCATAACTACTCTCAAGTGCAGCACTTGGGTGCCCACAGGAGTGGCAGGGGTGAGAAGAGCATACCCTGTCACTTCCATCAGTGGCTGGAGCTGTTTTGGTGCCACTGATGATTCTAATCATTAGGAAAAAGCGGGTGATTCCACATGAGTGTTAACTCCACTACTGGCAAATATCTGCGGAGGATGTGGCACATCATTTAAGATGCAAGGGGAAGCTGAGTGCCATTGGATTGGATGCAAGATGGATAGTGATTCTAAAATTACAAATTCCAACTCCCAATGCTTGTAAACACAGGCACGTGGAGGTGTCTGCCTAAAGAAAAAATATTTTGGGCTTTGTTTCAAATGCAAGGAGATGAGCTCCCGCTTGGTAAGAATAGGAGTTTTGTCCCTGTTTGGGAATTTTTTTGCAGAGAAATTTGGAAATCTCTAGGTAGCAATAATTGTGATCACAATTAAAATGTAATCTAGAAAGATTTTTAAGGCATGTAATTTATCACCAACAGAGAGGTAATTTGCTGCTGAGTTAAAACTTCAAGACTTTTATTCACTATTTCCAGATTTAAAATTATACCAGCTTCCTGAGACAGGAATTGCACTTCAGGTTATAAAGCATTTTGTGGGGCTTTGGGGACACCGGATAGTGTCATGTATACATTCAGATTATAATTAGTACTATGCAACGTACCCACAAGCCTGGGAACAAGAAAGACCAAGAAATGGAAGTGAATCAGGACTGAAAAAAACTCTGTAAGGAAAATAATGCCATACACAATAAGAAAGCTACGCTGATTGCTTCACCTGTCCATACAGCCAGCCTTAGATTATTATTGAGAAATGATTCACATATGTTTTCATTCAGGTGGCTGGCAATGGGCCAGATGTAATTTGCACATGAACACAGGATGCACTTTAATTCTTGTGTCCTAGGCATCATCATTTCACCATGGCCTCTCTCAGCAAAGCCAATTCTGAATTCTGCTTTGACCTGCTAAAAGTGGTGATCAAGGAAAAACAGAGAGATGAAAATATATTCTTCTCCTCTCTGAGCATCTCCGCTGCCCTGGCCATGGTCCTACTTGGCGCCAGAGGCAATACAGCCAAGGAAATGGAAAAGGTAGGTCTCCCTCACTCTGCAAGTGCGGAAGGTATCATCATTTCCTACTCGTCCAGTCGAAAATATGGGGGACCCCAAAATGTTTTAACATGGCACAGGATGTGAATAGCAGCTGTCAGATTTAAAAGCCTCCATCTGAAGCCTTAACCCATTATCTGCTGCACACCTTATAAAGGAAACAT